GTAAGGCTTTTATTTATTCATTGTGTGGTGGTGTTCTATTGTGTGTTGAATTCTGAATAATGTCTTTATCCAGTTGCTTGTGCAAGATGAATATAAACTGACTATTCATCTGTTTGGCTAAGCAGACACAGGAGGCTGGTATATACACTGTGCTGCGCAGAGTTGCTGCATTAAAGTAATGGCAGCTGGGCTGGCATGTAGCTGAAGTCTGTGCTTTTCTGTGGTGCCCTCCACAGGGTACACTGGTAACACCAGGTCTTAGATGAAGAATGAAGGGAATGTGTGGAAAAGATGTTGCGACAAGGAGCAGGAAAACAGAGCATGCGGGAGTGGACGTGGAGAAGGAAACCTGTGGAGGAGAGAGAGAGAGAGACAGAAGGCTTCAGAAGACCATCTCATTTGAGGAAACCAGTTTTGAGAAAGCAATCGCTCCATGCTTTTCCTTTTTAATACAAAATCGCTGCTGGTGTGGGTTATAAATGATCCCGTCCTGACCTCCAATAGAATGACATGTCACCGGCCGGCTTGAGTAATAGTGTAGAAGGTGTAGTTGGCATCATCAGCACATTCTGCTTATTATGTTAGTCCAGTTCCCTGCCTGAGATTCGGTTCTGCGCCTCCTTTGCGTCTGGCGCGCTGTGATCCCCAAGGTGGGCTGAACACCGGCAGCCACGAAGCAGCACTTGGCAGCGGGCGAGTCCGTGAGGTGGCACAGTACACGGCGGCACCTGAAATAGCAGGCTAGCTCGTCACGCGCGACGCTAACGTTAACGTTAGCCCTGTGCTGCCAGGTGGCGTGTCCGCGTCGCGCGGAAAACGTATGGCTCGTTAATCCTGGGCTGGCTCTGACTGTAGGTTTAGCTGCAGGGGATTTTTAATTACTTAACATTACATGACATTACTCAACATTACTCAGTATGTATCTTAATCATGAGTAGTAAAATAGACCCAAGATGTGCAAATGAAATGACCAACTTTCTGGTTTCAGTTTATGCAAGAATGTAAACAGGTTTCCCAAACAAAACAAAAAAAAAGAAAATACTGCAGTATTCATACATAATATTCAAGTATAAAATAAATATCCTTATATATTCCATTAATACAAAATATAAACAGAAAGTGGCTGCATTTTATTTATTTTTTTCATCTTTTATAGTATAATTATTTCAATACATCTTGACATGTTTCATATATCTGAAATTTGAGGCTGCAACAATGAGCATAGTTTTGAAGAGTTCTGGCTTAACAAAACAACAAAAAAAAAACCTGACTTCCTATCATTTACAAAAAGCTCAAAGAGCTGATGAAAAAACAATAGATAATACCATCCGTCATCATGACAGACACAAAATTGCTTTGTTCTACGCTGATAAACAATATCACAGTGTTCCATTTTGAAGTCTGTTTTGCCACACAATGTATGGCTGTACACCTTCGGTGCTTCCAGGACTTTCAGCACGAACACGCAACATCTGTCAACTGCCTGTCACAGGTCTGGGAACAGTACAGTGTTTAACAGAGATTTTAATTGGTGTGAAGGCACAAATAATGCAGTCAGATATTGAAATCTGTAAAGCAGCATGAGCCAAACACCCATTTTATATGTTTTTGTTCAAATTCTATTTAAATGCATTTCATTTTATTGCAATGCCTCAAAATAACATTCATATACAAATCCAAGGCTGCAAATCTGGTAGCTGATTTTTGTAAAGATAGTTTTAAAGAGAAACTTTAAAGTCTGGTAATATATAGTGTAGCTGGGAAAAGGGATTCAGAAATCAGAAACTAACATGAGACCCAGAGCACTGTTTGGCTGTATAGGCCTTATTTATCCTAGGAATGACCCTCTCCATGTGCAGAGAACCATGAAACACTCCTGAAGCTGGCTGAAAGGCTTCATGCAGTAAACCAAGGACCTCTGGAGTCATGTCCTTCAGCATAATGGAAAGCTGGTATTTTCATAAGCATTTGATTAAATGTTCAGGAACATTCTTCTGATCCATTAGGCTCATGTCCTACGTTTCTGGTGTCTGCATGTCAGAGGAACATTTTCTGGGCCTGTCACCGAGACATGAACCCCATCACTGTCTAAAACCTAAAGGGTTTTTGTGACAATGTTGCTGTGGTTCTTAGCAAACCACACACGTCACTAGACCGACCATCCTGCCCAAAGGTGTATTTGCTCATTTTCCCATTTTTTGTTTGGTCGATTCTCTGTACGAACACACAGTCAGTTCGCTGTAACTCCTACTCCCTTAATGCTGCAATGCCTCATGGGAACTGAAGTCTTAAGCCGTCAGCAGCTGTGTTTTTATCTGCCAGTCAGCTCACTCTTCCCAGCTACTGCTTTGAGACAAAACACTTCAATTATTTTTTCTTAACATATTTATTAATTCAGTGTATTCCCAATGCTCAGTCACAGCTCTCCATGCATTTTGAAATTTGAAACACACACATGCACGCACGCACACACACACACACACACACACACGCCGGGTAAACATATCTCTAAGGGGACCTCTCATTCATTTCTATGGGAAAAATGCTAACGCTAACTATGACAACCTTAAGCCCTACCCAGCCCTAACCATAACCATAAGTAACCAAGGGAAATACAAGAATACATTTTTAGCTTTTTCAGTGCAGTCACTGATTTTTATTAAATTCAGTTTTCCCTTATGGAGACCAGAAAACTGGTCCCCATAAGGAAAAAAAAAACGGGTATTCATCACGTTGTGGGGACATTGTGTCCCCATAAGGTAAGGTATACCCGCTCTCTCACACACACGCACAATGTCACATTGTGTGTGTGTTTGGGGGGTGGGTTAGGTTTATATTATATTGTTTGGTCCCCACAATGTAATATAAGCATAATCCACCCACCCCCACCCCCATGCACACTGACCTCATGTATTTGTGGGGACTCTCCATTCATTTCTATGGGCAAAACCCTAATCCCAACTGTGACAATATTAACCTTACCCAGCCATAACCTTAACCATAAGCAACCAAACAAAATACAAGACTTTTGGCCATTTTTGTTCTTTGATTGCTGTGGTTCCCACAATTCAATATATGCTCCCAACTACTAATCAAGCATGTTTATACAGCATAAAATATCAATTCATAATGAACTGGTTATTGGCTGCCTTAGTGAAGAAAGCTGATCACAGGCCAGATCGCTGTTTTTCTTACCGGCAGCACAATGTGCCGAAGACCTATTGTGAGGGTAAGAAACTGAAATGGTCAAGTAATAAAAGGAACTGGCTATGTTTTGTTGAAGTTGCCTGTATGAAAGTTACATTGTTTTCTACTTCCTAAGTGTTGGATGTTGGGCTTACCGATACTAAAATGAGAAAACACATTATTCTGGCAGAATGAATAGCCATGAATAGAGTGAGCCCATTTCACAATTGCACCGCAACTGCGCGTCGAGGTACATCACATTTAGACTTGTATAGATCTTCTGGGACCAGTCCAGCACTGAACGTGCTCTGCTACCATTCCATCTAGAACAGGGGTGGCCAATCTTATCCGCAAAGGGCCGGTGTGTATGCGGGTTTTCACTGCAACTCCCTAATTAGATTACTAATTAGAGGACTGATTGGCTGAAGAGTCCTCACACCTGGGTTTGAACAGCTGACCTACAGGTTATCCCAAAAACCTGCATACACACCGGCCCTTTGCGGATACGACTGGCCACCCCCGATCTAGAAGTACTTAGGGAATGAAGCTTTCATCATAGGGCAACAAGGGTAAGGAATACCCTGGGTGAGATGGCAGTCCAACACTGGGCACATACACACACTCAAATGAACCACTTTAGAGACAAATGGTTTATCTTTGGACCATGGAAGCAGCTTGAGGAATCCTGCCCTGCACAGGGAGAACATGCAAACTCCACACACACATGCCCACATGGTGGAGGCAGGATTTGATCCCCCAACCCCAAATTTGTGTGAACATTTCTTTTTTTTTTTTTTCGAGAGAACTGAGTTGAATATGCAGTAAACTGAAGTACAGCATGATATTCCATTCAGGCTTATCTGGCAGCTGCGTATTGGCAGGAGATGAGACAGGGGTGGAAGCCTGATCACACTCCATCTTCTGCAGGCCCATCAAGCCTGAGGGAGCAGCTCCAGCAGCGAGGGTGCAGAGCTTCTGTTTCTAATGTTTTTATGATGTGCTGTTTTATGTTCGGTGAGGCCCACAAAGAAATATATATTTTTTTTTACAAAACATGAAAGACGAAACAGTTGTAGACATTTAGCTGCTTGAATGCATGGTGTTTGAAATGACAGAAAAAAAGAAACACAAACAGACAATAGACAATTTGGCAGATATTAAGGAAAAGCCAGGAAGTTAAAACAAGCTTGTACACAACCCATTTCACTTATAGCCAGAATATTTCTTCCTGATTGCTCATGTTTCCCTGATTACTTTTAATGCTGTTATACCCTCTGTCCAACTGCCATCCACTTCTCCAGTATATATTTGCGGAGGGTTACAGTTTCTTTTAGACCAAAAAAAAAAAATTACCTTTCAGTATTTCATTCCGTAGAGCCTGATATCTCACTTCAGCTTATTTTGGAAGTTGGTACATGCATTTCAAGCCTCGGAACGCAGTCCCATAGAAAACTGTTTATAGAGTTCAGAAAGGATTTTCTGCTCAGGAGACAAAACAAAACACATAACAATCTCAAATCCAAAGCTGAAATTTATAACATGCGTCCAGTAACAGGCAGCCATTACAACAAAAACCAAAACATTTTTTATTCAAGCTAGACATCAGTTAGGTGTTTTAGGTGTATTACTTTGTGTATTGTAATATAAATCAGAAAAAAATATGTATATATATATACAATAAACTACCTATGAAATGTTTTTAAATGTTTGTTTTTAAAAAATTGGATACATCTGGTGCCTTTTTCTGAACAAATAGTCAGATGATCACTAACTTTTAAAGTAGCAGTGCAACAGTGCCCCCTTGCGGCTACTATTTAAATTCTACAATCTATCCGACAATTTTCACCGTGAACCGGAGTCTTTCCCACAGAAAGTGGCGCGCGGAAAGCACAACTTAGGAATGCTACAGCCGTTATCTATATGGCACCATTCTGCCCTCCCGTCAGTAAACTAAAATTAATTGGTGAACAACTAGGTGGAAGAGTTATGTGCCAGTTAGCGCTGCTACCTGGCGGCTTCAGGACTAAGGGTTAAAGCGCTGCTCCTGCGCCGTGTGTGTGAGTGTGTTTGTTCTTCCCATACTGTGCTGCGTTTCTCCGGCTATTGGGTTTTTTGTCCAAAGACATATGGTTAGTTGCATTAGTGTCTCTAAATTGCTTATAGTTTGTTTGTCTGCATGTGCACACATTGCAACAGACTTGCATTGGTCCAGAAAATACTCTGTCCCTGTGCTTCCAAGCCAGCCCCCTCATGGGAACCAGGTTTAAAAATGTTTGAATGGACAGTGACTACGAAGACGGCGGGTGAGTTGCACTATTGTTTGCACATCATCAAATCTGGTTCCTCCCAAAACCTGCAGCTAGACATATTGGATCCCACAAATTAAGTTTGTTTCTGTTTCATACTGCAGTGAAGCACTTCTTTTCTCAGAAAAAACTTAATTTCACTGAACCAGACGCAATAATTTAAAGAACAATACAGTGCATAAAATTTCTAGTTACATTCCCTTCTGTAATATTCTACCTCTTGTTCAACATCTCCATTCAAAATTGATACTGTCAACATGAAATTAAATATACTCCTTAAATACATTGTGAGCTTAATTGCACTGCTGGTTTCATATAAAGGCCAAGAAGTATTGGACAATTCACTGCTTTCCTCAAAGAATTCTAACTCAATTTAAATGTTTTATTACAACAATATTCACGTCTGGGCAGAACTCTGCCGTGAAAACATTTGGATTACACTGGACAGTGTTTCTAATTATTTTGCTCATGTTGACCATTTTGTATTCAGATTCGGATGTTGCCAGTATTTCAACAGAGTTTATTTCATCTCACCATTCCACAATACTGGTCGGTGGACAACTACAACAGACTTTAAGAAAGAGTTTTTTGTCTTTAAGGGCAAAAATCTGCTGTTGACTGTTCTTTCATCAGGCAGTGAAGTGAGTTTCTTAATGTAGTGATTCCCAAGCTAGTTACTGAATGGAAATGGGACAATGGGGGAAATGAGAGAGAGGCCAATATATTACTGCCAATTTGAATAATTATTCCCTTTTTTTCAGATTTTGACAGGATAGGTCTGGCCAGTCCTGTCAACTCATCTCAAATTAACAATGGTCACAGAGTACTTTGGGGAAGACAGTGAGACCAGTGAAGAATCGTCAAAAAATTCTCAGAAATGACATGTTTATAACGTGACATGACATTTTTCCGCTTTTAGCATGAAATGATGTGTTGTATAACACTGTCCACGTCTCACTGAGAAATGTGCTAAATACTGAGCATGTACAGTGCAGCGCCGCTCAACAGTTTTTACACACACTGAGAATTTCTACATTTGTATGTTACTCGCTTAACATTTACTAAAATAAACACACTTAATATTCTTTGTCTTTGCTAGCAAATAAATGTATACTATGTTCACCATTTGAGTACCTTTACTAGCAAGAAAATGTAATATCTTTAATTCATCAAAGTAACTTCCTCAAGAGCAGATAAAATTCAAGGCGTTCTTTCTACAAGGAACATTAAATAATGCTCTGTTTCATTGGATGAAACAGGTAACTAGTGCATTTAAAGTTAAAGGACAGCCTAGAGTCTGACTCTGCCATCGCCACACAACCAGTTAATAAGATGTCAGACATGCACTGTTACATACTCTTTCCATGTTATAAAGGAAACTTGTTTTATTAGACTTATATTTTTATTAATAGTTGTTCACTCAACTTTTGAATGCTTAACAAGATTTTTAAAAATCTGCAGTTTATGAAATAAATGGAAAAGTTGTAAAAACCTGTTGTTTGCAAAAACTCGTGACTGGTAGTTTATCCGGAATTAAGGAGAATACCGACTCTGCAAACTAATACTGTGGGACGTTACCTGCCAGAAACACACCTTGCCCCTCCTATTTTAGCTCTCCTGCCCATTGTCCTCACAAAACAGTATCAAGAGGCCAATGTGCCATAAACAGGTGGCCGAAGATACAGCAAGGACCCCCAGACCCCTACAGACTAGGCTTTGTCACTGTGGTTTTTTCATTGCACAGGACTGTGAGAACAAAGGTAAGTGAAAAGCACCGTTTTATTATTATTGTTTTTAGAAAGTATATTTTTCTGTAACAATCAGTGCAACCCTTTATCGACTCATTACTGACCTTGGTGACGTAATACCATCTTGTTTATAAAGACTCAAACTGATATTCTTCAAAGAGAACAATGTCAAAATGTATTTTTATGGGTGACCAACAATGGGTAGACAATGAGAACAGAGGAGAGAGCTGAGCGCTGCTGGAATGGCGGTCATTATGGATTATATCCTTACAGTCTATGTTAACACTTGTCCATTACTAGAATCTGACTACTCAGATACTCTACTCAAACTCAGCATACTCTATAGTGCAATGTAATAAATAAACAGGCTTTTGTTTAAATAGTGAAATTTATGTTATTTTTCTATATGACTGCATATTAGTGGATAATAAACAATATATATATTATTATACTTACTGTCAATTTACAATTTTATTCCCTGTTTATACAACACACACCTCGAATCTTGCTATATATATAGATTCTGATGCATTGAATATTTGTTTTTTATGCATCTGTGTTCATTCCTATGCGATTGTTGCTTCAGATCAGTACCTAAGAACCCCTTCTCTCGTCCTCTGTGCCCTGATATTGCTGATCCGTGCAGTTAGCCTAGAGTGAGACGGTCGAGGTTCCAACCCCCCCCCCCCCCCTGAAAATGTACGGCCTTTACCTGGAAGCAGTGAATGACTACATCAATGAGTCCTACGGGGAGGATGTGTGGAGGTTGATCGAGGCCCGGGCCGAGATTCCCCACTTAAAGTTTGTACGGCACCAGATGCACAAGTATGTCTTCATCAAATTTTTCTCATTTTTAGCATTTGAATGTAGAACCCCCAGAACCCTATAGACTAGGCGTGATGGCTTAGAATTCCACTATGCCTGAGTGAAAAATGAGATAAGAATATATGCTCAAGAACACGTTGTTCTTTCTGAGGTTATTGACTCAGATGAGTCCACATATAGACGCAGATGAGTTCCACATTCATCTCAGTTAGAGGAACCAATTACTTAGCCTGGCTAAAATTGCCAACAATGCTACACTCCGTCAGACTTCAAGTTTGCATGAAAAACAGTTTCCTCCATGTACAACTCCATGCTGCTTACCAATTATTTGTGATGGTTTCAAAGTTATATAAAGCACAATAAAAAAAAAATCAAATTCTGTGATCTTAAGACATTCTATTTCATTGATATTTTTGTCATTTGACATGTGTCATTTTCCAGACATTTTTAAATTTATAAATTTTAAAATAGCATAGTTCAACAGAAATGAGTTCTTGTCTTATGAATTATGTCTCTGTGCTATTTCAGTGACAATCTGATCCTCCGTTTGGCTAAGGCAGCTGGAGAAGTTCTGGGCAAGACTCATGACGAGTTGATGTACGCTTTTGGTGTCTACATGGTAAAGAGGATCGGCAATTATGGCTATGAAAGAATTTTGAAGGTAACGTGAGAAGGACACGTAGGACCTCGAGCCGTTTTTCACCTGATGCCCAGACCAGTTCTTCTGCAACCTACCTAAAAGTTTACACCTGTTTCTTCTCTTGTATTTGTCGATGGCTGCCAGGTACTGGGACGCAATGTGAGAGACTTCATCAACGAGCTCGACAACCTGCACGAGTACTTCCGCTTCTCCTTCCCCAAGGTGCAGCCGCCTAGCTTCTGTGTGGAGGAAGAATGCGAGACCAGCCTCACGCTGCACTACCGTAGCACCCGGAAGGGTTTCACGCAATTTGTCAAAGGTAGTGCCAATAAACCGCTGCACATCAAAACCAATAGTTGGGTCAATCATGCATCCACATGCATATAACTTTGGACTGGAGTGTGGTCCAGAATGATGGCTGAGTGAAAGGCACTGTGAACTATTCCTTACAGAGTAATTCTGTTTCTTGTATTTTAAACAAATGATTCGAAATCCAATATCTGTTCATTCTTTCAGGACAGCTGTCCCAGGTGGGGCGACAGTTTTACAACACAGATATTGAGGTAGAAATCCTGTCCAAGGAGGAAACAGAGAAAATGACTTATGTGGTGAGTTAAAAGGCAGGGGACCAGCCAATAAAGCACCAGTCAATTTTCAGTACGTTTTCAAGTTTGTTCTCATCCCTTTGCAACTTATAATTGTATAGTGGGGTAAAATGTATTTGGGGAAAAAACAGAAAAAAATCCCCTGATTTCTTTTGAGAGCCTGAAACCGTACGTCAAAAATCAAAAGGATGGGAAAATAAGATTGCGTAAAGACTAATAAAAAAACATAGCGTTGGAAGTCTCATGTGTCGTGGCGGACGGCCTCTCGCCTGCAGGTCTATAAGATGAACTTCGACAATGCTGCCTTTAAGCACCGTATGCCCCAGCAGAAGACAGCCCCAGGATATGAGAAGCTGCCCATGAAGCGGGGCATATTCTTCGACATGTTTCCCTTCAGCGTCATTTTCCGGCGGGACATGACGATGTATCGCATCGGAGATGGACTCAAGGAGGTCTTCTCCGACTTGCAAGGGAAGAAAGTGAATGAGGAATTCACCCTCGTTCGGCCCATGCTGGAATTCAGCTGGGACAACGTGAGTGCTGGGATTTTCGCCTTCGTTCCTTATTTACCGTGCCTATCCAACTAGCTAATAGACTTTCAGGGTGAATGTGCCTTATGAATGCAAACAGAGTCTCTTAACTTATATCGATCCGTAGATCTACACCCACTTGAACAACATGTTTGAGCTGCTCTCCAAGGCTGTAGTGGAAAGCAAGCAGAAGGTTAATATCCCGAAGCTGAGTAAGGAGGAGCCAGAAGAAAAGGAGGAAAGTGAGAAACCAAAAAAGGAAGAGAGAGGTAAAGAAGTCAAAGTCTTGGTTACCATCAGAACCATCATGACTGGTTCCGTGCTTCACTATCATAACACGAATTCATGAATTTTCACTTATTGTTTTCATAGATACTGTGTCATGTTGCTAACTATAGCATAGCAAAGTATTCTTGTACGGCCCAGTTCTACAGTAGACTCACTAACACAGGCGGATGGATGCTGTTAAGATAAAACTGTGATTTACAGTCCTAAGGAGATTTTCTTTCAAATGTCCGAGCAATGTTGGTATGTGGCTGAACGTGGCGCAGCGGACATACTTATGCCCCTGTGTGAACCTAGACATCAAGGCACTGGAGGATATGAAGGGGACAGACCAAGAGTACAGCAGTACTCTAACTCAGTGTAACTCTGCTGCTAACTCAGGAGGGGAGGACATCGAACTGCTGGCTTTCCAGACGGTAACAGGTAAGAGCAGCCGGTGGCCTGATCTACCAAGCCAGGCTCAGGATTTTCTCAACAGTCCTTCATGTTTAAAACGAGGACTTTAATGAAAACCATGTGTTCTCTAGTGCACACTTTATAAGACATTATAAATAGCGTTTTTCATATATCACTACTTCGTTGTGACTAAGAATCTCCACGCTCGAAACTCAAGAGTGTTAACAGTAAATGACATCCCAAAAAAAAAAACTTTAGTGCAGAAAACTTTTGAGGTAAAGTCATTAAATAATTACAGTGACACCCACCAGTGTCCCACATCAGTCAGCGTAATTCACACACGCACAGAGCAAAATCCGTCTTCTCGAATCACCACTGTATTTCAATCCTGTTTGCAGAACCACTTAAAAACCGACTAATGCATTAACAGGGCTGGTTCTGTGTTTCCACATGTCAGGAAAGTGCAGCGAGACCATTTTTGAGGACATGCGGGAGCCTCCCAAAAAGCCGCTTCATCTCAAGGGTCAGATGAAGTACGTCTCGCAGTGGGACTCTCTCATCTTTCTTGGAACGCCCATGTAAGTTCTACTCAGCGTTCTCCGTTACCAATAAAACAAGACATGGCTTTTGCATCTCTGTGCAAGACAAGTAAATCTCTTTAGTAAACATACAGCTGTTAAAATAAGGTAAAATAAGGTAAAATAAGGTAAGGAATTCCCGTCGGATGGTCTCAAATGGCTGATGGAGATAGCAGCTGCTTAAATGTGAAACACAAAGCTGTAACTATTGCTCATGTCTTTTTTGTCATTGTAGTATTGAAACAGTGGAGGACATGATTAAAATGGGAGTGTATGTCAATGACCTGAACCTGCATGACTCCAGCAGAGAGCTCATTTTAGCCGGAACGCAGCAGTCTGCGGAGCTGCAGCTCGCTCTCGACCAGGTACTGAGCTTGAGAAATGTAAAGAAACAGACAGCCTGCGATTGCAGCTTTCCTCTAGTGCTCAGCAGAGGTGGGAGATTTCAGGTCCAGAGAGTACAAATCCAGACCAGGATTTTGTTTCAACCAACCAGTTGAGTACTCTGTGACTGTGACTCTTTATACTCAACTGGTTGGTTGAAACAAAATCCTGGTCTGGATTTGTACTTTCTGGACCTGAAATCTCCACCTCTGGTGCTCAGAGTGTCTGTAGCCCAAGCGGGTGACCTGCGGCACTCTCTGCATCCTTAGGAGCAGCAGAAGTATGCCCAGCTACAGGAGATCATTAAAAAGCTGGATGAGGAGAAGAAGAGGGGGGACTCACTGCTGTATGCTATGATCCCCAAGGCTGTGGCTGACCGCCTGAGGAAGGGGATCACTGCGCTTGAGACCTGCCAGGTACCGGCTGGGTGCTGCGGTCCTTGCGCAGGCCAGTTACGACTGGCTTGTTTGATAGTATGTGCTGTATAAGATTAGGTTCATGTGTACTGTTAGATCTCAGCAGCCCTTATTTTACACCCATTCGCTGTATTTATGTCTCATGAGAAACAGATCCAGTCATCAATAAGTACTTGTGTTCATTATCGTTTGGAAACCTGGTGCAGAATAAATTCGGGCGGAGGGAGGGGGGGGGGGGGTAAGGGGGGGGGGGGGGGGGGGGGGGGGGGGGCACAGTAGTGCAGTGGTTGGCCCTGTCGCCTCACACCTCTGGGACCCGAGTTTTGAGGCTCTGCCTGGGTTCAATGTATGTGCAGTTTGCATGTTCTCCCCATGTTGTTATGGGGTTTCCTCTGTGTACTGAAGGCTAATTGGTGTTAGTGAATGGTGTGTGATTGCGCCCTGTCATGGATTGGTGTCCCGTCCTTGGTTGTTCTCAGAGATTGGCTCCAGACCCCCACAACCCTGAATGAGATAAGCGGTTAAAGAGAATGGATGCAATAAATTCATTGGTTAATATATTCGCTTTTTAAGCACTTTTTTAGGTAGTGTGAGGCATTAAACAATTCATTGCTATCGGCATTATCTCAAGGTCTGAGCCTGAAATGTGTATCCTATACAAAACAATACCTGACAAAACAGCACACACGTTTATCCCACGTCATTGCAGGTCTTCCCAGATGTGACCATTCTCTTCAGTGATGTGGTGAAGTTCAACGAGATCTGCATCCACATCACCCCTATGCAGGTGGTGGACATGCTAAATGACATCTACATTGTGTTTGACACGCTTAGCGAGAAGCACCATGTTTACAAGGTGAGAAGCTGTAGGATAATGAATAAGCAGCACGGTGGTCTCTCTTACCATTTAATATTTATCTAAGATGGTGAAAACATGGTCATCCAGAAATACACCTACAATATCCATTAAGGGGTATTAAAAGCAATGAGTCATATCACATGAAGTCATCTTCAGTTCCGTTTATAAGCTTTCATTCAGTGATTTAAAGGCTCAACATTCACTATAGTCCATTGACTTCATCTCGTTCTCCAATGCCAGGTGGAGACCATAAGAGACGCCTACATGGTGGTGGCAGGTGTCCCCAACAAGACCACTTTCCATGCCCACCACATCTGTGACATGGCCTTAGACATGCTGAGCTCCATCGATCATCTCAAAGATCCTTCAACTGGAGATAATATTCAGATCCGCGTGGGTAAGGAGAATGACAGCAGATATTTATTCACCTAAATATGAATTAGAGATTCACTGTTATCTCGGCTTAACACCTGTGCAAGGTGAGCCTGCAATTTATTCACATTATTGAGTGTCGCTGGCATCATAACCTTGAGCAAGATCAGAACTGAAAGCTAAGATAAAATTACAGTTATGTATTCTGAATATACTAGCAATATATAGCACTTTTTTTGCTATATTTTTAACCATAATTAATGGCTTTTTATCGTGCCTTTTTCTTTTAAATTTCTTTTTATATATTATTACATTTAATTACATGTCTATATTACTATATATTTTCTTGTTTCTTATAGTAATGTTATTTTCATATTTTTCTTTTTTTTTTATCTTTCTTTGTATAGCACCTTGAATTTCCTCTGTGTATGAAAAGTGCTATATGTGTGTATGCAGCCGTGGAAGAAAAGAGACCACAACATAATTTTTTGCTTCACTCATTTCTCAATTTATGGGTGTGTGTCTGTGAATAATATATATTTTTTGCAAACTGCATCCTGGTTCTTCTCTGTTTCTCATTAATGAAGGGCTTCTTCCTCGCTTTATGGGACTTCAGTCCTGCTTCTAGGAGCCTGATACAATCCTAGCAGTGCACATCACACCTGCATTTAATGTTTCCCATTCCTTTTGAAGGTCACTTGAGGTCATCCTAGGATTCATGAGAAACTGTCGGATAAGTTACAGTCATCTCTGGCATTAGGAAGCCGCTTCCACCCTCTACCTGGCTGGTTTCTGGTCGTTGCCAGTGTCTCCTGCTTCACATTATTCTTGTATCCTGCTGTATTAGAAATTTTTAACCTGGAAGCAACTTGCTGCTCAGCTTAGCCTTTCGCCAGCAGAATCACGATTAAACCAGGATTTTAAAATGCAGATTAAAAAAAAAATATATAGAGTGGACTTTTCATTTTTTCCACGGCTGTGTGTGTGGTCCAGGTATACCTTGTGGGGACTACGAATACCTTTTTTTTTTTTTACCTTATGGAAACCAGAATCCTATTTTATAAACATCTGTGACTGCAATGAAAAAACAAAAAATGCAAGAACTTGTATTTTGTTTGCTTGCTTATGGTTATGGTTAGGGCTGGGTAGAGGTTAAGGTTGTCATAAGAACATAAGAAATTTACAAATGAAAGGAGGCCATTTGGCCCATCAAGCTAGTTTGGGGAGAACTTAACTAATAGCTCAGAGCTTATCTAGCTCCGATTTAAAGGAACCCAGAGTTTCAGCTTGTGCTACACTAACAGGAAGACTATTCCATACTCTAACTACACCCTGTGTAAAGAAGTCCTACCTCAAATTCATTTTAAAATGTTCTCCAGCTAATTTCCACTTATGGCCACGAGCTCTAGTATTTAAACTAATATTGAAATAGCCATTTGGCTGAGCAGCATCCAGACCTGTTAGAATCTTATATACCTGGATCATATCCCCCCTTAATCTCCTTTGCTCGAGGCTGAACAGATTCAGCTCAGCTAACCTCTCCTCATAAGACATTCCGCTAAGTGCTGTGAAATTGATGTTTTGGATATTTTGATTTAATCCTTACGATTTGTGTTTTTGTTTAAAGGGATACTTGAGTTATCTAAATGTGTGCTTTATTCGTTAATGTATTTACATATGTGTGTTCTACATTACCCATAATCCTGTGTGGGTTTCGTCATGTAACGGGATGGGGGGGTAGACGAAAAGAGAAGTAAGAAAGATGGAGGTACTGCCATCCAGTCGACATTTAATTTAGTCTAAGTTTATGTTTGAAACGAAGTAAAGAGATTTGAAAGGTCAGTTTCTGTGTTTTGGCTTTGTGACTCGAAGATAGTTTAACTATCATAGATAGCTCATAGTTAGCATTAGCATTTTTCCCATAGACATGAATGAGCGGTCCCCAAAAAGTTATGATTACACGACTCTGTGTGTGTGTGTGTCTTATCTTATATATGCCATTTTTAGTAACTAAGCTGTGATAATACAAACTAGATCATTTACATACTATATATAAATATGGTAAGTTGACAGAGAGACACTGAGGTTCCGGGGCCTTGTGTCCTGCAGGGATCCACTCGGGCATGGTGGTGGCTGGCGTGGTGGGGCTGAAGATGCCGCGCTACTGCCTGTTTGGCGACACGGTGAACACTGCCTCCCGCATGGAGAGCAATGGGGTGGTGAGCGCCCGTTAGCCGCATGCTAACTCCTGAGTCACAGCTAGTACACCCACTGAACGCTAAGTCAGAGGCTGTGCTCATTTTCAGCACCAGATTACTATTTTTTTAAATGTGTTGCAAATAACGCTATATTGTCACGGATTACTTAATAGCATTTAATATAATGGACATTTTGACAAATTAGAAGGATAATAAGTCGTTCAAGGCCTGTACATTTGTCCGGGTAACTTCAGATATTCGCTCTATATCTTCCTGATCCTAGAGCATACTATTTTCATAACCTACTAGGTAATAGTAACAATCTAAAGGGCAAAGCCAGCCTGGGCTGAGGTCATTCTCAAGCAGATCAGAGACATGTTATTGATATTTCTCCTGCACATCACACAGGGAATGCAGATCCACATCAGCCAGACCACGAAGGACCACCTGGAACATGAACCATATATCATTGAAGAGAGGGGCAAGATCTTTGTCAAGGTGAGCTTTAGAGCTTCTTCATAACAACCCACAGATCATGTGATCCGCTTACGCTTAACCACGGGAGTGCATCGGAATTATTTTTAAACGCAAAACCCCTGTGTTCAGGGGAAAGGTTACATGAAGACATACTGGCTGAAGGGGAAGAAGGATCTGTCGTTTAAGACCCCGGCAGAGGTGCGCTATAGCAGCGAGCAGCGGGACTCTGAGGAGAGGACCTCTAATGGGTGAGCAGATGCGGATCCCATCACCTCCCGTCGTCATACATAGAAATGCAACACAGAAGGGAACGGCGTGAAAATTCACCCACAGCACTGTCTACTGGAAATGGTTTAGCATATCCAGTTGCCTTGATACTAGTAACTATTGGTACTGGTACTAACTGGTATTAATTACTTGGTGGTTGTGTACGATTTCATGTTAGGCTGTCGGCCAACTTTAAGAAACAAAACCATCGTGTGATAAAAGTATACAGTCAATTTGTTTGTTTCATTTTCTACCTGGCGCCCTGCGGAGTGTTGACGACTGCCCAGGGTTGGTTCTCGCCTGTGCCCGTCGTTCCCGGGATAGGTTCCGGTCTCCCCCCCCCTCCCCCCCCTGCGACCCCAGTTGGGACTGAGCGGTTTCAGAAAATGGATGGATGGATTTTCTATCTGCTACTTTCTACCTTCTAACTCATAATGTACTGTATTAATTAGAGGTTAAAGATGTAGCAGGGTTTATTAAATTGCTTGTTTTCTCTTGTTGCTGTTTCCTTTCTTGTAGCTCTAATGCCCAGCGCTCCGCCTCCAACCCCAATATACCCAGCGAACAGCAAGCAGAGGGGAAGCCCAACCTTACTGACCTGCCACCTGACACTCTGCCTCCCCTCGAGGGCACGACAGGGACCCCCGCCGTCTCCATGGACCCCCAGGACAAGGGGAAAGCCAAAAAGACTAAGAACAGCAAAGGAGGGAAACTCGAGGCTGGGAACACGCAGGAGAGCATGACCCCTGCTGGTAGCTCTGAGAATGCAGGTCCAGAAATCAAAAACAAGAAGCACAGTTTTAGGAACCAGTATGCCCAGTTACCCTTCTCCCTCCCCATACGCAGCACCACCTGTAGTTTGCTGTGAGAACTTCAAGAGTATAATCAGGGACTCTGTCATACTTTTCTTCTGTTCAGTTACAGGCCCACTTGTTCTTAAAGAGAAATAGCATCTAACATTAATACAAATAAGTTAAATAAATAAAGCAATAGCACCCTATTATGTACTACTTATTAAGTAAGATCCAGTTTTAGTATGCCAGTACCTACAATTTTCAAGAGATATGCGTTATATTCTAAATTTATGGCGTGAGACAATGGTTTGAGCAATTGATTTTCCAGATATCTTTGAAAAAAGGTGTTGTGCCCAGTAAGTTAGGAACGGTGAACTCTAACAATTGGGTTCTGTTGTATTTCAAGAGCACATGTTTAATAAAACTGAACAATTAGTATGCGATAGACATGTAATAAGCTACGTTCATGGCACACGTGCTAAAACAGGTTTGTAAACCTTACTGTCCATAAACAGCATGCATGTGCTGACACCTGTTATATTTGCCTGTGAATATAATCGCTGGTGGCTCTTTAAATGTCTGTTATGTAATTTCTGATTGTCATTTCCCATCCTTTCTGATGCCGTCATAAACATAATACAAAGTCAACACAGTCACATAGAAATCTGTATTTCCTTTTGGCAACTCCCCAGCCACGCATCTTGCCAACTCTCTAACCCCACGTACATTACAGCTGGTCATGCGGAAGGATGCATAGCTACACATCCATATAGCGGCAGATCTCAGTACACTGTCAGTCCTTTGCTGGGAGACGTTCAATAAAAGTTTGGGAGCACAGAGAATCGAATTTCCCTACTCAGCACACACTTAAAAGTCCTGAAATGCAGAAATATATTGCAGAAATGCAGAAATACTGACTATTTTACTCATTTAGATTTTTTTTTACTAATGTGATAGATGTAAAATCCGGCAATGGGTTATAATATTATGGCAGATAAGCTGTTTGTGTTTTAGAAGGTACTCTCAAAATGAGTAGACTTTCTCCATCCTGCACTATCTGTGCGTTGCTGACCTTTATAATTCTCATGTATAACATCAAAGGAATGCTTGGAATAAGCTTCCTGTTAAATTACAAGTATGCTGCTTCAAGTGCTGTATTAATTTACAATTCAATCCAGCAAGCGATCAAAAATCAGTAGGACTGAAAAAGACAAAAGCTCTGAATGACAGCGTACATTTAGAAAAATGCTGCCATTGCTTTTACTGGAAATGCACTATTTCTGCACAATGATGTGATAATAGTTTCAGTTCGGCTATTTTCTGGCCACACATTGCTCTCATGTGAAGCTAAGCTCAGATGCCGCAGAGCTTATGGTGTGGCAGTGAGATATGGTAATTATGGTATGAAATATACGGCAGGGCGCCTAAAAGGTCAAACTGGAGTTCACCTTCAGGGGGGTGAGGGCATGCCTGCCAACCTTTGGTATATATGCCCAGAAAAAATATTCACATGGGGGCCCCCACACCCGAGGCAGAGGCCCCCCTACAATTTCCTACAAAGGTTGGGCAGGGGGTGGGGAGGTTTAAAATTCTGGTCAGCCAGATAAGTTGAGGTCCCTAGATTTCAGCCAGAGTAAGCACTTAAGGTGCCCTTAACTATAGCGGGAAATCAAGAGAAAACAAGCAAATATCAGTAAAAGAAAATTAGTGTATAATAAGCAATAAGAGCAATAATAATAAGCACAAAGGTAACAGGTGTCAGCAAATATGGAAACAGCTGGATTTCATGCATGCTGTACAGTGAAGATCTGCACTTTGGAAGCGATTTGGGAAGCGGAGAAAGTCTTTCGAATGAAGCGAATGTGCAAAGCTAGACTGATGTTACCGTTTAGATGGCGTGCTGATGCACACAGGAGACGGGAGCCAGGCAAACCGCCGCGAGGCAGGTGTGACCGCAACTGGAGCAGCAGAGGTGAGTTGCAAGGATGGAGAACTTGCACGGCGTGCTATTTGGGGCCTCTGAGAGACACCGGTCCTGCACCACCCGGCGTTCTCCATACTGTCATTTCCGAATGAGATGTCATTAACCGATAAAAGGGTATGTGACCAGGAAACCACGCGAACTGCACTTCCTGCCTTTTGGCAAAAAAAAAAAACAGTGCTGTTGTAGAACTGTACCTTGCCAGGGAGATGCAGGCAGTTGATAAAAAATGAGAGCCATGGAGCTGCAGATTCTCACACTGCCTTCCTTCACTGGTCCTCATCGTAGCTACTAGCTCACTTTCTATTAAAAGGACCACAGCTGAATGAAGACACTGGGAGAAAAAGCAGGGGGCCCCAAGACTCATATAGCTTTACTGTGTTGGTCAGAAACTGGCAGATATCTAGTCCAGATGGTCGTCTTTCAGAACTCTTGCTTATGGAATATATTTGCTTGAAAATTACACATTTGCAAGACAATTATCTATAAAAGTATGTTGGTTCTTGCTAAAGGAACTATTATATTAAACGTTTGTTTTGAAACACAGGACTGAGGAAGCAAGATATTGATTTAATATTTAAAGATTAAGGAAAATCTTCCACAACTATCCAGATCTTCCATTAACCTATCCATCCTTTCCTCTCATGGTAAATAATAATATAAATATAAAATCCCAAAAAACAGGTTTGTAAAGCTTCATTTTTCAAAATTTAATTATGGAATCAGTTATCACGAGTTTCAGTTTCAAAACGTTTAAAGGAACGACAAACAAGATCTGAAGCCGAAAAATAAAACGAAACAAATCACACTGTAGTCTTTGGTTTCATTTCATCTCTTCCAGGCTTTTTTCTGTGTTGTTCCCTTTTGAATCATTCTGGAGTGCAGGAAGGAGGTGGGCGATCGTACAAAGGGAGATCACAGAGTGACAGGAAAATGTCAGTTTTTGGCAAAATATGCATGTTATTTTTATTGTTAAGGATCCTGCCCCGTAGGACTGATGCTTGTAATGGAAATTTCAGTTAGATTATATGTCTAGCTAATCCAGTTGTGTGGGCTGGGTAATGCCAGTACATTTGACCAGAAAAGTGCAATAAATTTGTAATTAAAGCATAAGCAATGTTAACGTGGTGGGGTGGGGGGTTGTTAAGCAGTCCACTGCTGACTGTCCACTGCATTAATGCAATTGGTCAGCACAAAAAGGCTAAAGCCAAACCTTTTTCAGAATACCATGCTGCTGGATTATTACTAAATTCTTTCTGTGGATCACACTTGTTAGGACAGGCAGAGGCAATCTACAGCGTCAGCAGAGAGAGAGAGAGTGAGGGAAGGGAGGGAGAGAGGGAGGGGCTGAGGGGGAGATAGACAGAGTGTGCAAGGCAGAAGGCAAAGGGGCGTGTCTTGAAGAATTAGTTCCTCAAGGAAGTTCGGCTTTCAAAAAAATCTTTAGAAAATCCAGATACACGGACGTCTGTGGCAGTGGGGATTTTGGATTGCTTCTGCTTACTGGAGGAACAGTCCCACAAGTACGGAAATTTAATGCTCAAGACCAGTTTCAAAAGAAGAGGGGAGAAAGAAGCTTGACGAGTTGGAGTTTGAGTGACTGAAAGAGAGGTGAGGTTCTTCAGGGTTTACGCTTACGGTGCATGACCTGTCATCTTGCAGCTAACGGTGATGCTAAGACCTTTGACATGTCAGTCCTCTCACCTTGCTAATATAACTGACTAGTGTTTTTAAGAGACTGCAGATGTTTTAACACAGTTTTAAGTTGGAGTAAAAGCACATAGAAGGGTTAATTCTGAGATCATGGGTTAGAATGGAAATGTATTCTATTCTCTTAGTGTTTCACATTCTGAGAATGATGCTTGTGTTCACTCAGAAATAGGTAGCACTGCAGAGATGGAGAACACTTTAAACGTTAAAAATATTTCACGTTACCCAGCTCTGAAGAGATTTTTACTAGCGAATACTGTATATGATGTAACTGATTATAATGTATCATTTTCAAGTGAATTATATCTCCAAACTTTTATCGAGTTAATCAGCATTACGAGATACTTTACCTCAGCTTTGGACTGTGTACTATATTCAGAGCGCTGTCTTTATCAGATAAAGTACCATCTTTTCGGTCATGCTTTACCACTCCAGATTTCGCTGACTGATGAGAAGTTTCAATTTTGCTTTGAGTGAGGAACATGCTTTTAAAACGTTTCAAATTCAAATTTAATAACAACAAACTTTAGTAGTCTTCTCAATACCTTGTTGCAATTTGTTACCGTTTTCATTGCAATACAGTATATCCAAGTCAACATCTAAAACCATTTCAAGAGTTGGGCCCAAATTCAACTAAAAAAATGTGAATCTGGAGAAGAAATACTTATATATTATTTATGAGGTATGAATTATAATTCTTATTGTGTCAAATTAATAGCTCTACTCACAGCAAAACTGTGGCAGAAAACCCCAATAAATTATTCTCTTTTACGTGACACTCATGTCAGAGAAGCCAGAGGCCAGGATGACACATACTCTAGTCAGGTGATGTACTTTGACTTGAGTCTTGAGTGCTGAACGAGTCCCAGATCCTGATGTTGTTTAATTACAGGGCTGCCAGTCACTCTACACCCTTCAAACAATACGATGCCCTCTTGCATCAGCCCCATGTTATTGAGGGATTGCCCAAAAACAGAGTTCAGCGTTCTACCAGATCCAGTCATCACTGCCATCCTAAATATTTAGCTCATTTGTTCAAATTTCTCTAATCATTACACTTTACTACAGCTCTCCTGAACTTTGGCAGAACCGTAAAACCCAGTTCAGGAAACACTGGAAACTGGCAGAGACTAGCCATTTTAAAAATTATCAATTGAAATGTCTATACATTTGCACACTGGTACAGTAGCTGGTTTGCTTGAGAAGACATTCACGTTTACCTTACAGCAGTATTTATTGCAACAAAAGACGGATTATGTCCAACATAAAAGGTTATTTTCATTTAAACGACATTTCATCACCATGTAAGGAACTGGAAGTATTTAAGAGTGATGAAACTACACTAAATTGCAGAAGGACAAAGTCAAGCCCAAAGGAATTTCAGGACAGATTCAGTTTCTAAAATGAAAAGAAAAACCCTTGCAACGTTACAGATTTAACCCATAGTTTTTATGTTTAGATTTAATCTCTATAAAGACTATACTTTATATTTCACTCTAGAGATGTATCTCTACAACATAAAATAACAGGTTAGTCAAATGCTTAAGCAAAATAAATTGTCATCAGTCTCGAGAAGTGATTTGTACTGATATGGTACTTAAAGACACATGGTATCTAAAGCACCCTGCAGGGGGCCTTGAATGTGTAAAATTATTGGCTGAGGGACCTCAAGTGACATTTTGTCAGTGGGCCCAGAATTTTTTAGCTCTGCCCCGTCTATTTAATAATTTTGCAATATAATTCAATGTACAAATGATCTGGCAAATTTTAAAGGTTCTACTTCTTTTAGAAGACATATCTGAGGGAGAGCCAACGCAAGGAGCTCCTCTAGACTGTTGTCCTATTGTATAAAAACTAACAGCAACAAACATGTTGAAAAAGCTCTCCATGCTGGACCAGGTGAAATAATCATTTGTAGGCCTCCTTTGAACCACGCTCTGAAGCTCAGCTGTTTCCAGCTGCCTCATAGTTTAATGGTGAGGAAATGTGATTAAAATTGCAGAAGCCACTGCGATCCCTACAGAGTTCCTGACTTTAAGTTTGTATGGAATGGAATTAAATATAAAATTATAAAAAGTTATTATAATTCTCCTATTCCATTCATGGTTTAAAGTAAATATAGTGAATTAATGTCTTCTAATCCCTGTAAAGAGTTTGTGTAAAGGTGCAACATTGTAGCAGTAAAATCCTTTTGTGACTTTCAGCGAATTTCTGAAGTTCCACTGCTCAAATGACAATGGCTAGAATAAGACTCTTCGTGGTTTATAGGAGTAGCGGCTTTCAGCTGAGCTGGTAAAGTTGAACTGGATATCAGACATCTCCACATGCACACAGTTAATATTTACACCATGTAAATGTTTACAGCATGCAAACCTCGATATTTGGGGTCACTGCAAGTAATATTTGAAGACACGATACAATAGGACTATGCACAAAAACAATAGTCACCAGAGAATCAGAATACCCCAAGAGCTCAATAAGAGGCAAATCAGGAGTAATACTAATGTATTTTTAATGCTTGGCACAGGTTCAATTTTCGTCAGCCTAAAGAGCTCTCTGGGGCAACGTGAAGGCTTCAAGACAAGGTCATGGACCCACCAACATCTCGTCTATGAGGCCAGAGGGATGTTCTCACAGGTCTGGGGTGATGTTTTAGATCAGACAGCAAGCTCTTTTGCTGTCTGCTTTCCAAATAAAGCTGGTTAGTGAAGACCTGCAGGAACCTGCCTGCGCTATGTAACGCACAAGCCCCTGGCCTCATACCTGTTGGAGCAGGTCGCCAATTTTAAGCGAACCTTGTGCTCTCTCCCTGAACGTCTGAAAATGATGCATTTACATACCAGCGAGTTAACCATGGAGATATGGTTAAAACAGCCGTTCTCTTTTCTTACTGAAGGGCTTGAATTCAGGTCTGTGGAAGCACTGAGAACTGAAATGAATGGAAAGAAATGAAAGAAAACTCACAAGCAACTTACAATTTCCCCAATGTATGTTGTTAAATAGCAACATGCGATTGAACGCTTGATGTATATTTACATGTTATCGCATTAACCATCATTTACTTCTGAAACTAGTGTATTCATAAGATACTGGGTCAAACACAACATGTGTTTCATGACTTTTTCAAATACCACAGCCCTGTAATGTATATGTGGTCACTGGATGGAGTTTCTATTTTGCTTCTTCTGAATTACAGTTTATTTCTTGTGTGTTATCTTTTTCCATATTGAAAAATCATTGCTAATATATTGCTCCAATTTTGCTGTTGCTTGGCCATTGTAGCTGTTGTAAGAATTCAACCACTGTGGTTTTTCCAGGCATAAAATTATTCTAACATGTCAGACTCCAACAGATAGTCTTGACTTTACAACCATTATAAAGTAAAGGGAGAGACTGTGGTGTTTACCTAATGTTTGCACATCTCAAATCTGAGGGGAATAGAATGTTTTCGTCCTTGACGCTGTTGGGGCTTTGCCTCATGCCCCCATGATACCACCTTTTCATGGTTTCTCCCCTGAGCTAAGCATCCACGTCATAGAAAGGAAAACAAGACAGTCCCACAAAAGTGCATTGAAGAGTTATTACATTATTTCAGCCATACCCTTTTAATTATAATAAGAATCAATATGGGCAGCACCACAGAGATTAACTTAGCACAAATGCTATACGGCTTCATACTCCCAGATATGCACGGAAAAAATGAACTCAGTAGACCAGGTGGTGTTCAATGTTGCTATGAGTATGTGACGGCAACTCTAATGCCAAGACCAAGAGACAGCTCCAAAGGTAGATTTATTGACTCAAAAAATCTATTTACAAAAAAAAAAAATATTCGGCTAAATATTTGGCTTTGGAGTGAATGTAGTCATTCATCCAGCCTCTGACAGCAGATAATTCCGGAGCATGTTTGAAAGTGTTGGTAAATTAACAAAGCTAATCACAAGCCTGTACTATGCTCAGACAATTCTTTACAAGCTTGCACACCTATCAGAGAAAGTGTCCATTACAGGCACGATTAATCTCCTGTTTTACAGCACAATAACCATTATATGACACAATAATGAAGCCATGACGCAAATGATCAAAGGAACCTTAAATGAACAACAGCAAGTAAATAGAATACCTTAAAGTCCATGACATAATAGAAAAAAGGGAGACTGCTGGAAGTTCTTAGTCATAATATTAAGAAAAATTGTATACTGCAGTTAGCAACTCCTGCGCGAGGCTTAAGCAGTTGTCACATATGACCCCACCTCTAAACTCTCGCAGATCAGGCAAGAGACAAAGTCTGCAGTTACATTTTCTTTGCCAGGCTGATACTTATTCACAAACTGAAATGGTTCCAAAGACAAATACCAGCAAGATAAACGAGCACAGATATCCTTCATGTTGCCTACCGTTTGGAGAGCTCTATAGCGCTATACTTCATAGCAAAGCCAGCATCTTTAATGCACCAAAATGCTACCCGAAGGTGATGCAGATGGGGGTTCCATATATTCCTGAGCATCACTACATTACCGAGATAAGCAGCGGCAAACTCTCCTACAACACAGTATGCATCATTCCTGCATAATATCCATTAATTGCTGGAAAGTTGGAGGAGCACCATGTAAACCAAAGGGTAAAACCCAGAATTGCATGAGGTGAGGAGTACAAAAGTTGGTTAATTCTCTAGATTCTGGGGCAAGAGCCACCTGTCAGTAACCTACAGTAGTCTACTAATAAGCTTAGCTTTCCCTGTCATCTCCATAATGGACAAGGGTAGGAATCAAATTTAAAGGCTGAATCAAGATAACGGAAGTCTATACAAAAACATAGCAATAAGACTCTCTTAAGGAAACCCTACTCAAGAGAATAGAGGCGCAAAATAAAAATAAATAATGTTCTGCAAAGGAGAGACCTCAGAGTATGAAGTTGAGGAATCACAAACTACCAACATGTGCTTGTTGCCTGTTCAGCTTCTTCCGAGGGGCTTACAGTATTCCTCCCCAAATGTTCAAAAGGACAGGCTTGGGCTCCAATGGGGCTTGGAGATGCCCGTTCTGATGGCCATACTTTGGTACTCAGGACAGGTTCTGCAAAAGGCAGCAATGTCTTTTAGTCATCCTCAGCAAGTTGAAGTGCCTTCTTACTCTGGAATATGTTTTGCATCGTCCCAAGATACCTACCTAAGGTCAATGCCACAAACTAATCACAATATTACCTACACTTTTCAGAAGTCTGAAAAGTCGGATTACTTTTATGATATAAAATGTCTATATACAGGCAGAAAACACCCTCTTTACATGACATGTCAGTCCAACATATGTCAGCTGCTTTTACAACCTAGGAGTACATTACGGAGATCATCCTTTAGGAGTTGAGGCATATTAAGCGGCATTTTCCATTGATCACGGCTCAGAAGGTTATCAGGCTCTGTAAGGTCTGAACTTTGTACTACCGTTCTTTGAAACTTATCTTCCCTTTTCCCCATTTTGGACTCCTTCAGCTTGAATAAGCTAGCCAGCAGGTGATATCCATAAAAAGGAAGGGCAGTCCAAGATTTTTTTTCTCTGCTTCTCTCTGCCCCTTTTTTGGACTGAGCTAGTGCCATATTACGTACAGTAAAATCATGGTGAATGACCACTGGGTATGGAAAATGCTGTTCTCATAAGATATGCACTGTCCTTGTACCTCCAGGTACACCTCGACAGTTGGATAAGCTTGCTCTTCACCATGCACACACTTAATCCTTACAGGAGGGTCATTATCCACTCTGCAAAAAGATGGGCCGCGGCCAAACTCAAAGTACAGCCAGTGTCTACAAAAGCAACTGCTTTGTGGCCATTTAATCCAACAGGCATGTCACTTAGCTTGGCAGAGGAACAAAAGTAGGCTGCAAACAAGTAACGCATAGCACAAGCTGGGAGTTAGATCCAGACATGTGGGTCCTTTGTGACCCACTTAGCCAGAATTATAACATTTGATAGCCTCCGCCTTAGTAGAACTTGAATTTTCAGTCCCTTTCAGACTTCTCTCACCCCTCTTCTCCATCAGGGGGGAAGCTTGTCTTCAGTAGTCTTCCACTGGATATCACTCAAGGGTTGAGTGCGCCCCTAAGCTGCCACAAAGAAGTCTGCAAGTCAGGCATCATTCTCAGGGATGAGTGAGTTCTGCTCTTCAAACCTAACCCGGAACTCTGGACAAAGCATCTTCATGAACTGTTCATTTGATTATTTCTCCAATCTCATTTTCCCTGCAGGCTTCACCCATTTGTGACAGAGGTTCCTCGGCTGAATGTACAGGGTTCCTCGGCTGAATGTACAGGGTTCCTCAGCTGAATGTACAGTTCTTTTGGGGGTTTCCTCTGCTGACACTTCCACTGAGTGAAAACTCTCAGCATTGATGCAATGCTTCTTCAGTATGGCCTCCTTGACAAACACATATTCACCTGATTCATTCACATCAATTGCTACTCAGACGCTAGATGTTTTGCCATTCAAGACAGGAACAAGTTTTATGGTCCAGTCTTTTTGGAGCCTTCTACAAACTGTAGCTCTGCACTCAAATGGGGTATAGAAATGTTCCATGTCATATGTTTCATTGACCTATTTCATTTTGAGCTGTTTAGGAAGGCAAATATGACTTGCTGGTCTTGGATTGGTGGAGGTTCCAAGAGGCTGTTCTGCCTCCTCCCCATCTCTTTCCAGTACCTCTTCCCAGTAGGTACACTGATCTCCCCTTGCAGTAACTGAAACTGATGCTGAAACAACTTCCGTCAAGCAGCTTCTTGTTCCTCATGGACCACCCTGTCCTGTAGATCAGCTAGAAATTTCCAGAACATTTGCTTTAGCGGTCCTCTATCTGCTTCAAAATTTGCTATTGGCTCCTGCTCACCAACACCTCAGTCGCACCTTGCTGCACCTCCTCATTATCTGGGTTGGATTCAACCTCAATTGTGGTCTCAGCATGCGGTAGCATCTTCAGTGACATTACAACCAACAAGCTTCGGTACTGACCATTATAATGCATTATGAAGGTATTCATAGTGCATTAAAGCTAAGAGCATTCATAATGCATAATAAACATGGCTTTAATGTATGCCTTTTTATAAATATTTACAGCTGTATTTAAATACTTTATGAATGCATTACAATGCATTATGAAGGTATTTATAATGCAGCTGTATGACTGCTTTGAGTAAAGTGTTATCCAACCTTCTAGCAATCCTCTAACTCAAGAGCACCTCCCACTGGACCATCCTATTACTGCCACCAAGTTGTCAAAGAGGCAGTTCTAGACCTTTCAAATACTTTTCAAAAAGTATTTTTTTTTTACATTTTACCTTAGAGTTAACTATTTCTTCACACAGTATTTAGCATTCAAAATCAATAAGTACTCAAGCTATTTATTAAATTATACTTGAAATTCACATTCTAAAAACTTATAATATCAGCCCTTTAAAAACAGCGCTGTATCTACAGCCCCCAGAATATATAGTAACATTATAAAATATGCTAAGCTAGATGCCTATGCAAGACTTGGCAATTGTTACAGAGCCCCGTGGGGCCCACCGAACAGTTGAGGGGGCTCCGTTGATGCACTTCTTAAACTGGCATCATCTGATTGATGCAATATGCCTATCAGAGCAAAGAAAATTAAAGGTGAATCATTAAAGCCCCTCCCACATTTGTTGTAGGGTTCCCTAGCTAAAGTCTATTTTCATTTGGGGGCCGCTGGTTCAATAAAAGGTTGAAAACCCATGCAGTAGATAATCAATGTTAAGCGCTGGTTAGCAAAGGAGTATTCATAAGCGAAATGTGACACAACAAGATATTTAAATGTGTCAAGTGAATGTTTTGAGAGCCTGAAAATACTGCAAGGAGCACAAGTCTGTAAAGACACTCTGTAATGACAGGTGTCAGGGTCATGATAAACTTAAAGGTCACAGTATCAAGCTCGACAGGGCCAGGCTACTGTAACAGTAAACCAGTGTTTATTAATCAGTGACACTTATTGACATAGACATGGCTGGCTGTTTCTGAAACTCACACATGTGCTCTCAATGGGGATCTCTGTAAACGTGTTTTGCAGGCAAACTCATGCTGCTAGGTCAGGTGACCCAAGCATAATAAGCGGGTATTTGTGTGTCAGGAATGCGTGTGCAGGAGCCAGAGAAAGAAAGCACACAAGTGTGCAAATGAGTTGCATACCGGTATGTGCACAGAGGAAAATAAGAATAAATGTGCATAAGAATTCTCCAAAGAGATTTACTTTTTATAGAAAGTAATAGGGGAAAGTGCAAGAAGGTGAATTGAAATTGAAACATAATCTTACACATGGAAAAGGGTCATTAAGCTTGTGTTTGTTTTTAAAGTGTATCCTGTATGCAATTTATGGACACTGTGTATATGACTATTGGCAGGCAGTTATGTAGGTAATTATAGTTGTCACCAACTGTCACTGTTCCCACCCATCTACAAATATCATCACGATTACAGTTTTGTCAAACTGAAGCCCCGCCCACTGCATGAAGAACAGGACTCTGCGTCTCTATGGGGTTTTAAAGGTTTCAGTAAGACTCAACAGACCTTAAAACTAACTAAACAGAAAGAGAATAGAGTTGCATAATTTTTTTTTAACATGAAAATCCAAAAACCCTCCAGACCATCCCCCATTACCAAGACAAAAAACAAGAAATCTATGTTGATTCATACTTTCTCTTAACCATAACCTTAAACAGGATATGAAATCTTGGCAGCCATATTACTTTTCATATATTATTGTAGATTTTCCCTCAACTGGCACTTAAATCTCTGATTGCAAATCTGCTTCTGTGTATAGGTATTAGTGTGTATGCAACATGGATTTTTCTGTATTAAAAATGAAAACGTGACCTCAGCAAAAACCGGCATTTATGTCTCTTTGGTTGCCTCCAATGTTATTGTAATATGCAAAACAAACCATATCCTGTGATTCAGGTGTTTCAAATGTTGATTCCCTTTGCTCCCATAGCTGCAATGGATACCTTCAGCTCAAAGGACATGGCTATGAAGGCCCAGAAGAAGATTCTCAGTCACATGGCCAGCAAGTCTATGGTACAAGCGCTCATTGACGATACCAGCAGCGATATCCTCGATGAACTCTACAGGGTTTCGAAAGGGTACACAGGCAGCCGGGCAGAGGCCCAGAATGTGGGGAAGGACCTAATCAAGGTGGCAGTGAAGCTCAGTGTCCTCTATCGCCACAATCGCTTCAGTGTGGAGGAGCTCAGCTTGGCCCAGGACTTCAAAAAGAAACTCCGCCAGGTTGCCATGACCGCCATAAGCTTCTATGAGGTTAGTCTCCATCATCCGTCACTCATCACGGCAACATCAGTGAATATCTGTGAAAGCAGACACTCTATTAACTTCAACACTGTCAGAAATGTTCAACAGGGTGATGATTCATTGCAGTGAATCTTGTTTCATCATCCTTCATGACTCGGTTGAGCATTAGCTGCTTATTAATAATGAAGATTTTAAGCACATAAAAGCAAAGAATGACTAAAGATGCCAATTGTATATCACGATTAAAAGAAAAATTCTTAAACATAAATTTGACAAATTTCAACATAGTTAACTACCAGCAACCATATATACAGTCGGCCCTCCGTATCCGCAGGTTCCGTATCTGCAGGTTCCGTGTCCGCAGGTTCCGCATCCACAGATTGAAAATATATTTAAAAAAAATGTTTGGTGATGTTTGGTGTTGGTGGTGAGTGTTAACACTGTGTGTGTATGACAGAGAGAGAAAATAAAAATTTATTTTCACTATTTATAATTACATTTTCTATATGTATTATGATGGTTATGTCTGTGTATGTATGTACAGAGCATTTACATTGTATTAAGTATTGCAAGTCGTCTTGAAGCGATTTTAAAAATACTGGAGGATGTTTGTAAGTTATATGCAAATACTATGCCATTTATATAATGGGCTTGTAGCATCCACAGATTTTGGTATCTGAGGGGGGTCCTGAAATCAATCCTCAGCCAATATGGAGGGCCGACTGTATATAGTTACATTACAATACAGCATAAAGCATAATGTGCTTTTATACTAAGCAGTAAAATGAATAATGGTCTCTTTCCCGGTGACCAAGGTGGACTTCACATTTGACAAGAACGTGATGTCAGAAATCCTGACGGCGTGCCGAGACCTGCTGCTGAAGCTGGTGGACAAGCACCTCACCCCCAAATCCCACGGCAGGATCAATCATGTCTTCAGTCACTATTCCAACCCAGAGCTACTTGCCAGTCTCTATTCTCCAAATGGACCGTTCTCGTCCAACCTCACCAAGATCTGCACTGGCTTGAACAAGCTGTTGGAGGACGACAAATTATGAGCTGACTGTCCTGCTTGAAATAGAGACACTGCTGGGGATCAAGTCCAAACTGAAACGGAGGAGAGAACAAGGTTCTCACATTACTGAACAAGAACTAATATGTACACAAAAACTATTTGAGATGGGGCAGTCCAACCTGATCTTTTTCTAAGATGAAGCCACATCAAATAAGCCAAATGCGACAGCAACAAAAATGCTTGGCTATTCCAGTGGAATTTCCCTCTTCGGATGCAATAATTACAAAAACACATCTTAAAATGATCATATACCAGAACGTCTTGCATTTCAACATTCAAAGCCATCGCTCGTCTGTTTGTGTCACGCATGTCGATAAAAAAAGACGTTGCATACCGGTATAATCCACTGCTATCTGAGCACGTGAAGTAATTTTAGTACCATAAAAGCAAAGCGCGCAATATTTGAGAGCACTGTAAAAACCACTGCCATCTAGCGCTGTAAAAAAGAATTGCTATGGGTTAAAATTTATATATACGGTGCAAACCTACTGTAAATTACACGCTATTTTGTTATTATAAACAGTGTTGAATGATAAAAATGAACCACCACTTTAGAGCTGACATCTGGTTTTCATAAAAGTTCAAGATATATGTATATTAATTATGCTGATAAGAATTCTATAGATTTTTTTCTATAAAACGAAAATAAAACATGCACTGACTTTTGTCCTTTTTTGCAGATCAAATGACTCGGGTGCAGAACCACAAATATTATGAATATTAACTGGCAAATACTGTCAATTATGACTTTTCTGAAGAAAAAAATCCCAGATTGTAAGCGCTTTTCCAACTAAAGACACAAGGTGTAAAGAACAATTGTCTGCCCTACAAAAGCCACTTCCTCGCGATGTTTAAACATACCAAAATAGTATTTTCAGAGTTGAAAACATACTTCACACTAATGGAATCAAAACTTGTCTTAGGTGGCATGAGAGTCCCCACCAGCTAAATACATAACTGCTCTCTACATCTTGCAACTTCAAAAACAATGCTATTTTTAAATCCCTCCACATCATGAGTACAAGCTTTACAAGTCTAAACACTTAAGAAATATCAACCAAGATGCTTTTGTGTAGCGGATGGCTTCAAATTAACACCAAGATTTGGACGAACATCAGAGCTTATGTCCAAAAAACTAAATCCAAAATACAAGCAAAAGTTCCAAAACAAAGAAATGGGACCCAACACTTGGCTTTGCCAGTCTTTGTTCGAACAAAATTAACTGTTCCTCAAAAAGTCTGGCTTTCAGTGTTGAACTATTTGATTCCCGATACTCATTTATGTATTAACTAGAACATGCTACAATGGAACATGATATATCAGTTATCAAGAGGAAAATATTAGCCACCAGTTTTTTTTTTACTTTCTGGGAAAACAGGTCATTTGAGTTGTGAAAAACTGACATGTACTCAGATATTTGACAAAAAATACAATTTGTAGAATTGGATAGTTAATGCTTTATTAAATTTTTAAAAGTATACAGATCTCAAGCAGTTTTTGGTAATAATCGGCTTTTTTCAAATTAAGATATTTTATCAATATTTGCATAGACTATTTGGCACCTATCTCAAAATATACATGTACCTCACAATGTTATGAGTTTTCTTAGCTTGAAAATTCAAAGGACTCAACATAGACAGTGTCATTAACCAGTGTGAAAAATAGCTTAAATTCTCTTTAGAATAAATAAGTACGCAAGACAACATAACCTTAAGTGTGTCATTAAACAGCACACCTTTATATGAAGGTTATTATGGGGAGACTGACATGGAAAAGTTCATATGAAACCTGTATTGACATTAGTAATGAAAGGGATGTTGGTTCTGCTGTGGCAATATTACTAGCCGTAACATATGTCAAAGGAAGTTCCACTTTGGAGAGCCATTAGTAGGGCTCATTTATAATAAAAGAATAATAACAATATATCTGCATCATTCTTCAAGTTACATTCTATAGTTCAAGGGTATTACATCATGACCCCATCGACATTTCCAACTTGTTGCAAAATACTTGCGGCTTTAAAAACCACAGTATTCAAAATTTACAATCTCAGTTTCTGCTTGGTTTAGTCAATAAAAAACACACCAATATCTTTTAACAAACTTATCAGTGCACAATATTTCCAGGCATTTCAAAATCTTGTCTCTCATCACCGTCGTTGACCTTTACACCCCCTACTTGTTTCACAGCTCCTTGCTATACTTAATTCCTCAGAGGACACGTTGTAAAAATAGTGTCGAAAAACATGTCAACAAATTCCACATAGCAAGGCAGACGTACAGTGCAACAAAGTTACTCAGCAAAATCACATGGCCCACACAAACTCAAAACAGTATTGAACCTTACAATCAAGAAGTGAGCAAACATTATCATACACCTGTAATAAGCCATCCCATTCTGCAGAGAGACAAGAACTGGCAAAATCAATATTACAGCAGTTTCAGGTCACTATTTCAGTCAACTAATTTCAACTGAAACTAAAATAAATATATATAGACTTGGTGGATGACAGCTGGGATAAGATTTATCAAGATTAAGGTCAGCAGATTTCCTGATAATTTTAGAAGTCAGGTAATACTGGTACAAAACAATTAATAAATTTCTAATTATGTTCTAATTAGGTACACATGGGATAAAGTACTTTTCTGCATTTCCTCGTCTAACATTTAAATCAAAATATGCAAGAACTACAATGTATTTTGAAATGTATCTTCAACACATTAAAATGCACATATTTTCTATTACATCTAGCTGAAATGCGCATATGACCATTTATACATAAAATTAAGGCATCAAATTTGGATGGAAAACCAAAGGTAACAATATGCCCTCGAGATTCAAGACAGTAATAAATAACTATATTACAGTATTTACTGATCAGAAAAATGTTGATGGGTCAATGACGTCACACAATTATCAGCAAAAAAAACAAAAAAAAAACACAGCAACTCAGTCACCCACTGTCACATTTGCTCTGTTAAGTGCCATCTCCAGCAAACATGCAATTTGTCACAGCTCAAAGATCTCATCCTCATGGTCCTTCAGCACCGTGGCACGCTTGGTGATGGTGAGGGGAACCGCTCCCAGCATAGCTCGCTGGTTTGTGGTAGAGGAGGCGGCTACTGCGTTACCAGTCGCCTGATGCGATGAGGCACCACCAGGGTGAGAGTCTTCCATACATGCAAATCTACAGAAACAGGAGGAAAACTCAAACAGATGAGGACTGCTACTCTCCCATTAAACATCCATCTGGAAAGAGGGGCACAGAATCCAGTTCTATGTTCACAAACACTTTAAATGCCAGACATACTCAGCCACTTATGCTCCACTAGCTTACACCCGTGCTTAGAAGCTCATGTCTAAATACCCTTAAACACAGCATGCCAAAAAATAAACCACTTCAACATCAAAGATATGAACAAGAAACCCTTCCGCAGACCGCTACAATCACTCAGTATGGTGCAAGTACAAACAAATGTAACTAGTAGGTTCAATCCTGAGTAATGTTATGAGTTGTTTCCATACGAGTACTATGTGGCAATAGGGCACTTTTAAAAATGCCTCATTTTGATAATTGGTTCGCCTTGGGATCTATATTATGTTCTCTTGTTCAACTCTTTTTCAGAATGATTAAGTACTCACTGCCGATGTCCTTCACGGATCTTCTTAACAGCTGCCATTTTGGACTGACTGATCTGGGCATCCATTCTTTTCAGGAAGTCCATCGGTGAGAGTTCAGGACCCTCTGGTGGTCTTACTCGCTCCTCCTCTTTCACATCAGCCGGCTTCCTGTGCTTAGCCTGACCCTCCCTGCTTTTATTAGAATATGACTGCTCCATTTCCTCATCAGCAGAGACTCCATTGGTGAATGCATCAAAGTCAGCCAGCACAGGGATGGAGATAGACTTCTTCAGGAATACAGGGTCGTTGGTGTACAGTCTGTTAGCTCTTTTAATTTGTTCCATCTAAGAACACAGAAGACACCGTTCATGCATTTTACCCCATTACTCAAGACTGCATTCATTGTATATTTTCCTCCTAATTAAATTATGTAGTTACATATGTTCTGTCCCATAGTGATGCCAAAAATGTACTTATAAGGTAACACATGAAGGAAAAGTCAGCTACTGCTTCTCACTGAATGCAGCTGGGTCCTGACAGGATATATGGAAATAGTTATAGCTTTTCTGTATATAAATATTAGATCATTAAATTGCATCCTCGTACCTGTGTCATCCGTTTTATGAACACATTATTTAGCCCACATATTTTACACTTGTAAAAGAGATATACCAGGCAAGAGCGTTTAAATAATAGGTTTTGGAAGTTTTAATCAAATTCCATTGAATTGAGCTCCTGCAATCCAAACCAGAATGGCAAATTGTAAAATACAGTAAATTAACACAGCAAAAATATCAGATTTAAGTAACTCACTGATACTCCATACTTCAAGGCAAGTCCTTGGAGCGTCTCTCCAGGTTGGACGTGATGCTCTATGTGCCGCTGGCGCAACGGGGAGACAGAGCACTGCACCAGGCTGCCGTACGAACGCGTCCGGCCGGCTTCAGGACGCCCCTTAGCTCCGGTTGGAAGGGGCGCACTTTCAGATGACATGGCTTCGATCGCCTGGTTAGTGCGTAGCCAAGCAAGTATCTCTTTGCGTTGCAAAGTATAGTTTTGATGATATTCCGCAGCGGTTTTCAACCATCGTTTTTTTTATGCCAACCTCATTTACATTATCTGAAGATTCACTGAATCGGACGTTTCAACGACGATTTGTTGGTCTACAATGAACACCGGAAAGCAGTTATAGGACTGTGCACACAATGTAATAAAAATATCATTTCTTGGTGGCTCAAAGTGTAGCTCCTATTTACATATTCCGAAAACGCAAATTTAAATGTGTTTTCGTGGAAAAAACACAAATAGTATCCACTGGAATTAAATGAACGCAAAGAAAAGTAGCAGCCTAATCACTCGGGAGCGTTTTCTGCGCTGGAGTTATTAGTATTTTTTTGAGAAACTGAAAGTAGCCCAGCGCCGACGTCACGTTAACTAGCTGGTTAACCACGCTGACAGATTGATATCTAAGAGCCGTAGATTCGCAACAACTGTTGTCACATTTGGACGATTTCACAAGAGAAAGCAGGACTCCGCATGCGAGGTCTCGTTTCGAAGAACAAAGTACTATCTGCTGCGTTTTGACGAGAAAACCGGCCGAGATCGCAAGTTCAATCTCTGTTCACTATACTGGAAAAACCTATAGCGCTACATGAGCACATCTAAGAACAAGATTATAAAACAAAATTACAGCAGAACTCGGGTGTCCTCAGGACCAGCTGGGTCACGGAACGATAGAGCTGCCATGACCACAAATCAACGATAAATGAGGCAGTTGTAGCGTATTCTTAAAAATACTTTTACTACAGCAAAGATTTACTATTGCACAGAAAGGCAAAAACTGTCGCTCGCAATAGTGCATATGAGCAAAATAAATTACTGCATGCAGCTACTTCGTTTTAGACAGCAACTCTCCATCCCCAATAACCAGTACAAACGAGACAAACAGTAAAAAAAAAAAACAATATTTCAATACAAGTGATGGCCAGCGTTATTTCGTTTATCAGAGAATTTCCTTTTAACAACTACCCACTCTTTTCGCATCCTTGTACTCCGTTTAAAAGAAAGTGATTCCTTCCAATGGACCTCGGACCCCGAGCGAACGCGGTGCATTATGGGAGATGCAGTTAAGCACTTATGGGGTTAATCAAGGAATAACATTTAGCTTTCTCACTGCAAATGTAACACCTGTAGCATCAAGTTTTGCAATCATTATATAATCAATAAGCAATTAAAGCAGAGTATGATTCGGCGTTTTCCGAACGGGTGGCATTTTAAGTTATTTAATTTAGTATCCCACAATGCAATTCTTCAAAAGACTCAAATCCCATAGTTCCGGTTTATAGGACACACGCTTGCAAATAAACATTAGCTGAGCAAATCAGCTTAACTTCTGTGACAAAAATGTCTTTCAAGCGGGAGGGAGATGACCCCAGTCAACTAAACATCCTCAAGGTATTTATATTAGTAATTAGCCGTAGCCTTACAGCTAGTTACAGTTTGTACTGTTAATTAAACTCGACAGCCTGTCATCTGAATGGTGTAAAACACACACGAATAATATTTGGAATGAATGTATGTTGGTAGAGTTTGGGTAGTTTCACTCAGTGGACGCAATTATATTACTGTTGTTGTGTTTTTAGAAGCGTCGTGTGGCAGATCTATTATCAAACTTTATTCCCGAGGATGAAGCTGCCCTTATGAAAAACGGAAGGTAACGGCAATTCATAATGAAGCGAATTTTGTTTTGAAATGTCATCGAAGGGTAATGTCAGCAGATGTCGACGTACGATTCTGTTGACAGGTACACTTGTTTAGTGTGCTCCTACCGGCCTGTTTTTGATACTGTTGACATGCTGGCAGTTCACCGAAAGGGAAAGAGACATCTTGAAGGTGAGTTTAATTGAAACTGTACCGTAATCAGACTGGCTAATATATATATATTCGTGTCCTGACACCTTCTCTTGGCATCAGGGCTAAAGTGGTTTTATGGGAAGAAGGAGAAGTTTCAGAACGAACTTGAGAAACGGCGACATCATGATTATGTTCAGGCTGAGGAGCAAAAGAAGGTAATCAGTCATCATAGCCGGACTGTAGTGTCGGATGACACTATTCATTTATTTTACTACTTGAAACCGAAAAGTAACGCCTGCTGTTGAAAAGTAGACGTATCATACTGGCTGCATTAGTATTTATGGATCTTAAGATTTACTTGACTACCAAAAACACATTCTTGTGCATGTTCAGTAGTAGTACAAGCATGATTCTCTACCTTAAAACTTGAGTCTAGATTAAATGTAATATACCATATACGTATTGTTGATACACATGCATTATTAATGTGTTTTAATGTGTTTTATTTTGTTTGTGGTTTAACCTGTTGTTCCACAGGATGACATTAGCCCTGCTCCTCTGCTTACTCAAACGCGTAAGATTACCCATCATGCTTTGCTGAAGTCCACTCCTTACAGTAGCTGTCACAAGAAGACTAGGTAAAACTTAATCAAAGTTGCACTGATCCTGTTTTTATTAGACATAAATACACTGTTGTTTTTTCAGCAGGTATTGAAGCAGATTACCTGTGTTTTTTTCTCTCTCTCCCTCTCCTTCTGTTGAGGAAATAAATAAAAAATAAAGTAGTCCTCCGTAGAGGGGTGGTGGTGGAGGGAATATTAAAAAAAAAAAAAAAATAAATAAAAATAAATATATATAATATGTATAACAAATAAAAAATGTAACAGAAATATACTGTTAAACATTGTATGTTTTATATTTATAATGAATAACTGCCGAATTGATGTTTTGGATCAATATAGTTTTATAAGTAATGGGAAGTTGTTTTATTTGTGGTTTTTAAGATGACAAATCAAATTTAAAAGTTAAAACGATGGCTTTTTTTCCCCTCTTTAAGCACTATGTCAGAAAAAGAGTCAGGTTCTCATCCAGACTGCAACAGACTGTGTTACCGAAAGCCACCCACTGAGGCAGCAGCGAGGATCAGTGTGGAATCGACCGCACTCCCCAGCAACTCCAGCACAGCAGGTTATTGACTCATTAAGCACGTGAACTGGAAATAGCCATCGGCGATTGCTTGTGGTTCATATTTTCAGTTGTGCTCTTGCTTCCATAGTGCCCCAGAAACACCATTCACCTGCAAAGAAGAAGCATGTTGGCAAGAAAACATCCTGCTCCACAGGTGTCTCAGGGCCAGGACCTCCGTCAGCGGAGAGGCGCAGAGAGCTGGAGCACTATCTCAAACTGAAAAGGTTATTCACTTGTTTACTGAAAACAAGTTAATCTAAAATTAAATATAGATGGAGACGTTGTGTATGCATGGAAAAACTGTATATGCATGTAATATTCACAAGGTATGTACATGGCCATGTACAGTATGTACACAATACTTTCCCGGACTAATTTGTAATTGCTAACTTTTTAAAACAATCCAACTCAGATAAGCAAAAAGAACCCTAAGCAGTATTGTCTGCAAAGGCTTCGTTACCTTTGAACGGTTTATGTTTTGTTTTATTATACTGAATCATTAATGAAAATCCATTTTAAAAGATCAGTTTTATGGCTTAAGTTGCATTGTTGATAACTTTTTAGTCACTTGTGAGAAGTTCTCCCTGGAGTCTGATTGCATTTGTCTGTGTCTCAGCTCAGGATGGGTGCAGGACAGGTGTGGGAACTGGGTTAAGGACGAGAACGTTGAATTTGATTCGGATGAAGACCAGCCCGCTCCTCTTCTACCCAGCAGCAAGCCGCAACGTCTCGAAGAGCAGGAGAAACTTTGACCCCGCTGCTGACTCTGACCTCAGTCTTATACCTTTACCCCGCTGTGTCAGCCTACCAAGGAACTGCTGGCATAGTGAGTAGACTGATTACACCAACACCTCAGCAAGTGTTATCACCCATCTTAGGAGCTGTGAGTCGGCTCAGCTGGATATAAATTGACACAGTTGTATACGGTGAACCACATGTTTCCATCTGCTTGCATAGCATACTTCTTGAAACCTGGGGTCTAGTTCAGGCTCAACTTGAATTTCATTCTCTCCATTACAGTAATTTAGATATTTTTAAATGTATGCAGGTTACCAAAACCTTTGAATGAAAAGTCTGAAATCACTTTGGTTTGAATAATTGTCTTTCTAATATTTTTTAAAAATTGTTCTTTGCTGATGTGATGGAGGTCAGTCTCAAAATGACACTACTGCAAAAGAGACATCATTTCATTCATTCATTTTTACACATTCCTTCTGAGAAGAGAAATACTGCTCATTGTTGTTGTGACGGAACATCCCAGAAAACCATCCTGGCTACAAACAGAAAGCCCACAGAGAATTGTTGTGTCAGCTGATGTCAAGTCATCTGATTTCATAGGGTAACGGTGTGAATGCCTTTGGCACGAGGTTGTTCTTTGTACCCAATCTGCAAAAATTCCAGACATTAAACTATGAGCCTGAGGAAATGGGAGTTGTTGTAAATTAGTGCAGTGTATGTGTTCAAACATACAAACTTTCTTGAACATGAAGAGTATATCATTTTTATTAGGTAATAATTATCCTTATTCAAATATTCAAATGTTTTTTTGATAAATTTCATTGAATTGATTTCATATCCACATAGCCTTTTGTCTGGGGAAACAACTTTAGCTGGAAATTTATATTTAAATGTTGAAAGTAAATCTGTCTCTTATGGGACAAACGGTATTCTTGCAGGTAAGCATTGATCCAGCATAAATCATTTAATTTGATTGCAAAGATATATCTCTAGTATACAGGGTACTTGCATGAAATCTGAATTTCCATTTTCAGTGTCCTGCACAAATGTGTGTAAGTGCTAAATTAGGCTAATACTTGAGTTATTTTTGACAGGAACTTTTGGTGACACATAACTTCAAGTTGCTTTATGGCAAGTAACATTAGCCTGCAGGAGAAGCCTGCGACAATGCTGAAAATGTTGCACTGGACAATGGGGGGGAAAAAACAAAGGAAGAAAGAATAGACCGGTAGCCTTGATATACTGCTTCTTTAATAAATGATTTGAGAAATATTTCTCTGATTAAAGCCCCACCGTGGTAAATTATACCAAATCTGACACCTTTTGACCATTAAGCTCTTGTGTTCCATACTTTGACGAGATGCGCTTGTCCGTCTGCCAGAGCATCCAAGGATTTCGGTTTCTCATTCAACAAGCAGGGACGATTACATTTGAGACAAAGATTTACTTGGCCTATAAAAAACAAGTAATCTGATATCCTGTGTTAATGGGATTAATGACAAATGTTACAAAGTTCTCAGTCATGTTTTGATATTGTTGGCCTTGTCATGGTAAATGTGAGTTAAACTGTGGGCAGCATTCTAATGTGTAAAAGCTTTCTGGCTAAAGTGTTTTTTTTTTCTTTTTTTTTTTGCTTAGAGCCGATTTTCAAAAGCAGCTTGAATGATGCAAACATTATAACTATCGCACCAACAACACCCACTTTTGCTCTGCATCTGGTCATACCGGCTAGCTAGCTCTAAATGTCAGGTGTACACAAAAATAAACATACAAACAGATTCCTCCTACTAAAGCCAGTAACATTCTTCTGCAGGCAGATATTTGGTTCTATCCCAATCGATATCCTGTGCATGCCAGAGCTATTTTTGACTTATCACAATCTGTTCTTGTGAGAGATCATTCTCGGTATTGCGAACACATTGCGGAGAGTGAACAATTGGTTGTCATGGCTGACCATGCCCCATGTTTCACTTATTTTAATTTATTTTTATATAGCACCTTACACAACGCAGTTGCCCAAAAGCACATGACAAGAGTGTGTGGTATTCCATTATTACATAATTTATATAAAACGATGCATGAAACAGGAAAAAGGGGAAGATGGCATGGGCGTTGTTAGGTCCGATCACTCAGGGCTAGAGCCCTGAAGATTTTTGCCCCGATGCCAATTATCTTCCTTAAAAACAAAAGTCAGCCCCAGGTAAACTTGACTTAGACTGATCTTTTCCATAGCTAGAAAGCTGGAAGATGGAAAGAATGGATGGAAAGAATAAATAACAGACCTAATGGCATCCTGGAACAGATAGTGGTGATCTGAATGGGAGAGGAGTAATTGCAATTACTAGCAAGAATGTTAGTTTTATTCATAAGAATTAAATTAATACGAATATGCCTTATACCAAAGACAATTCGGCCTGCAATAGAGTTGAAGCCGATCGGTTAGATTTTTCCGCCACAAGGTGGCGATAGAGCTATAGGTAAAACATGCATATCTCTTTCCTTATTTCTCTGGGGTGCGTTTCCTGAAGCCTTCTTAGGAAGGAAATAATCGATTCTCGAGCCATCGATGTCAATCAATCATGCGCTCCGGCGGATATATTTGATAAATATGTAAATGAACCTGCATTGTCGACTCTCATTAACGCCATGAACTTAAGTTTTGATATACTGTGACTGGCACATTTAGAAAGGTGTGTGCATTCCAAAGGTGTCGGAAATAGGGGAACATGTCCACCCCAAAATAGGCAGAACCCCCCCCTTCCTTCCCAATAAATGCATAACCAACAACGCATCAAAGTTGCGTCGGTTTGAATTAAGTAATGGACTAAACATTGAAAAGAAGAACTGAGACCAACCCCTCCCTGGAGATCGGGGAACCCCTTATTTAAAGTCACCACCAAAAAAAAAACCTAACTCACCCCAACTCAGGACAAAACGCCATCTTTCAGATGTAACTGAACGATCAAAGGAAAGCTTTTTTCCGGCATATTAAAGCAACATATTATCATTAGAATTCTGTGCAATGAAAGTATGTGCAATCCTAAAAAAATATGCCAGTGATCCCCTTTAAACTACCAGCAGGGCATTCTGTCGAAATACATATCATGCTTTATTAATCATGAAACTGCACCACCCTCTTAAGTATTTACTTAAATTTGCTTAAAACTTTCCAGGGACAGCACCAATGAGTCACGAATTTTATATATAGGCCTATATGTTTGTGTTCTTGAGTGGGAATATATAGAGCACTTAGAAAACCCCACATCTGTCCACGCTGAACTGCAGGAAGAGAAATTACTGTCACCCACACAGTAAAATGTCAGTGCATATTAATTATTATTTGAAATATTTTAAATAAACATTTTAAATGTTAAAAATAGTCTTATTTAGGGTGGCGTGGTGGTTCAGTGGTTAGTACTGTACTGTCATCTCATATCTCAGAGGCCAGGGTTTGCAATTGCGTTTCTGCCCGTATTGCCGTAGGGTTTTCTCTGGGTTCTCTGGTTTCTGCCCCACAATCCAAAACTTGATAAATTGTCTGTAGGTGTGATTGTGTGTGTGTGTACGCGCCCTGTGATGGGTTTTCGTCATTCTTTGTCTTGTGCCCATAGCTTCCAGGATAGACTCTGGACCCCCATGACACTGCATAGGACAAGTGGGTATAGAAAATGGGTGGAAGGAATATACATTGAAAAATGTACATAGCCTATTTAATTTACATTTGCCCAAGTATTATAGCCTATAGCTTAAGACGTAGCATACCATATGGCCACAGAAACATCCTTTGCTAATAGCTGAATATACCGATGGCATGAAGCAGAATAACCAATTGAGTAATACTGAAAGTACTGGCTTTGGGATTTACTGAAAATGTTGGGCGCTAATTCTGACTTTAACGTTTATCGTTCACACGGGATTCTTGGGGAATTTTTAATTTCATTAGCTCTTTTATTCTCACCTACACATATTTCACATACTGCAGAGTCCATAAAACAATGCATATTTTCATTTTCAGTATGTAATGATTTTTCCTGCCTCCCCCGATTTATATTATACTGTAATGTACTTTATCGAAAAGTACCAAGCTCCCACATCAAGGTGCCATCTATAATCCTTCCAGAAAGAGTCAGTTTACTCAGTGACCTCAGGCTTTTTGAAGGACAGAAAGGAATGCGTAACAGAATATGTATGTCAGGTTAACCATTGAACTATAAGGTCTACGTTTCTATCCAGATCATATTCTTTTTCTCGTGCCGACTCGGGGTGTTTTGTCCTATTTTTATTTACTTCAAAGTCTATCAGTCAGAACCCCCCCACCACAACCAACCCATATATGTTGTTGTTTATTCAGTGCAGATTAAACTGTTGAAAAATTCATCCTAAAGGCAAAGCTGATTACGGGGAATTTAAGTGAGAGACAGTGAATATTATACAATGGCAGTCAGGATATCACCCTTATAAAGTAAAATGATTGTAGCTGCAAGCTAGAGCTAATGATTACAGGTTCTCCTCTGTAGCCTTGAAGATTCCTGAGGCCTTGTTTACTGTGAAGCAGTGCAGGGACGCACGTGGGAGGAGCAGGCCCAGCGCCCTCACTCCTGGAAGTGTTGACATAACCACTGTGGAATATAAGAACACCAGGGCTAATGCTGCCTTTTCCCACTGCTTTTCTTGCTTGGTATCAAGACCACACTCTATGGCAGGCAGAGAATACCAACTGAGGCCCCTGCTTGGGAGTGAAGGAAAACATGTGCCACAAAAAAGCAAGACAAAGAACAAAAGACACAGCCTGATGAAAGGAAAATGGGATGAAAGGCAAAGAGCTGAACCAAAGCCGGTGGAAAAGGCGTGGGTTCCTTTCAGCTGAGCTGGAACTCAGATAAACAGGAATCGGATAAAAGAATGGAATGAAACGAAAAGGCATGCAGGGAAATGAAAATATATGTTTAAAAAAATGAACTGTAACCTCAAAGATAAGCTTCTGTGACTGTGATCAGAAGGCTGCCGGTTCAAGTCCGGCCTTGGCATGCCTGAGGGTCCTTGAGTAAGGCCCTTAACCCCCAGCTCCCTGGGTGTCACATCGGCTGGCTGCCTTTCGCGGCCAGATTGCTCTCACCTACAGAGAGTAAGCTGGGGGTGGCATAAAGAGAATTTCCCCACGGGGATCAATTATTACATAATCACCCCAAAATGTTATTCCTATTAGAGAACAATACAAATGAAAGTGGGGTCCACTGAAGTACAGATTAAATCCAGTAAACAACATAATTTGCGGCAGTCTTGCAGAGCAGGTAAAATTCTACATTTCTTTCTTTTAACTATGTGTCCACTGGGCAAAACGCAGGTGTGGAGGCAGGCCAACCTACACATAATACAAATTCATCAAACGATGATGAGACGGAATTCAAAACGTAATTACGGCAGACAGCCCTTCCATGACATTGCATACACCAAGTACGTACTGTCCGTTTTGCCGCTGTAACCCTGGTAATATTAGTCACACATATTGTGACATGGGTGTAACGTTGATGCTTGTCTACGTGACTGTATCCATAACAGAAGAAGATGAGGCATGACCGACCGTGAATATATTGTTTCAGAAGAGTTGCTGCGTGGAGGTGATAATGTCTTCATACCAGCTATTGCATGAGTGCCCCCGTTTTTGGATGTTGTCTGATGTTGGTTTGC